AGAGACTGTCTTTCTTCCATTGGATATTCTTTCCTGCTTTGTCAGAGATTAGTTGGCAACAGTCACAACTTCTAAAGTATGATAGCCAGCCATTTAGAGCCCCTCTTAGGGGCATCTCTGTTACAACATAATATAAAAAGTGGTGTTTGAAATGATCCTGAGACATACATAAGAGTTCTATTGCATCCATTTTGGTGTGTGAAAGAATACAAGGTATACATTGGTGGTGGGGGGTGATGTCTAATACAAAATGATTAAAATACGGAAAAGAAAAGGGAAACTTTTTAATTTTTGGTCCTTAAAGCAATAAACTTCAGTTGTTCAGGAGGTATTCCTTTACATGTAAATCTCTCTTTTTTTAAATTGTTTTATTGAGAGGTAACTTACCCAAAGTATACAATTCAGTGGTTTTTAGTAGAGTCTCAGAATTGTGCAACCATCCCAATCTAATTTTAGAACATTTTTCATCACTTGTAAAAGAAATGTCATACCTGTTTGCAGTTGCTTCCCATTTCTCCTCAACCTTCCCAGCCCTACGCATCCACTAATCTACTTTTTGTCTCTTTAGGTTTGCCTAATCTGGACATTTAATATAAATGGAATCATTAATATATAGTCTTTTGTGACTGGCTTATTTTACCTTAGCATAATGTTTTGAAGGTTTATCCATGTTGTAGCATATATTAGAACTTCATTCCTGTTTATAGCTGAATAATATCCCTTTGTATGGATAGACCACAGTTTTTATCCATTCATCAGTTGATAGACATTTGGATCGTTTTCACTTTTTTGTCTGTTATGAATAATGCTGGTATGAACAATGGTGTACAAGTTTTGGTGTGGACATAGGTTTTTAATTTTCTCGGGTATGCACCTACAAGTGAAATTGCTGGATGCTAACTTTGTGTTTAATCATTTGAGGAGTAGCCAGACTATCTTCCAAAATGCCTGCAGCACTTTATATTGCCACCACTAGTGTATGAGTTTTCTACATCCTTGTCAGCACTTGTAATATTGTCTCTCTTTTTGATTATAGCCATCCTAATGGGTATGAAGTGGTATCTTCTTGTGGTTTTGATTTACATTTTCCTGATGACTATTGATGTTGAGCATCTTTTCATGGGCTTACTATCCATTTTCTCTCTGGAGAAATGTATAATCAGATCCTTTGCCCATTTTTTCAGTAGGGTATTTTATCTTTTTATTATTGAATAGTAGGAGTTCTTTATTATATTCTAGATACAAGTCCCTGATTTGCAGGTATTTTCTCCTGTTACACAGATTGTCTTTTCATGTTCTTGATGATGTTCTTGGAAGTGCATAAGTTTGATTTTGAAGAAATTTATTTTATCTAGTTACTATTTTGTTGCACCATATCTAAGAAGGTTTTGCCTAGCCCAGGGTCACAAAGGTTTATGTGTATGTTTTCTTCTAAGAGTTTTCTAGTTTTAGC